TTGAAGTCAACAGGGATTTTTTAAAGCTAAAATGTTAGAAAAATTAAAATGGGTAAATTAATCAATTTTCAAAAGTCGGAGAAAAAGACGGCTTGAATGATGAGCGTCACAGAACACCAATTTTTGAGGGGGAGTAAATCAAAATACACAGCCGAAGTACTTTTCAAAATTTATTTTATAACATGAAAATAAAAATTAAAAAAAATAAATAAATAGAATAAATAAAAAATTTAAAAACAATTCTTATATCTGCTAAACATCCACAAAAAAAGGCTAATATTTTAATTTTTCCGATTTAAATCGATCATGATTCATGGAAATGTTCTTTATTTGTCTGAAATATTGAGAGGAGCTTTTTGAAATTTTTAATTGTAGAGGAATCATTTTACCCACCCGCCAACAATGCCCATGTTTTGAATGTCAACCTCTCTTCTTTACTTTGTGCTAGTTTGCTTTAATTTTTCATACAAATAAACAAACAATAGTTTTTCTTTGATTTATCTAAGATGTTTTCAAATGTCACTTAAAAAGACATGCAATAGATAAGTTATTTTTCCAATAATATTTATGAAAGGAATTTAAGAAAATTGTTAACATTTCGGAACAAAATATTTAAAGTGACAACTATGCAAATAATGAAATAGCAAAGAATGAAGAGTTTTCAATAGTTAAATGGAATAACAATGAGTTTTTATAAAGCAAAAGATATTTTTTCAAAAAAATGAAATGCATAATGGTGTTTAAGCAACTAAAAATAAATAAAAAAATTTGCACTTCAAAAATATTTTAAACCATAATAAAGAATGTAGATAATAACAGCTATTTTTTTGCACGAAATTATCCTTGGCTAAACAAATTTTCTTATTATATCATTACAGTTAAAGAAGTTGATAAACATACATTGTAAATAAGGACCTCAATTTTCGACTTCGCGTAATATTTCTTTATCAGAAAAAACACGATTTTGTATCCGATTTCGTAAATTACATTATCGTCTTCGTAATTAATTTACATATTTCAATAGTGTCCCTTTGACACCATTAAGATGGTAACTTAATACGTGATAATGAAGGCAAAAGGTGTGCGGTGATATTTCTTTAACGGTGACTTTTTTTTTAGCTGTGATTTCTCTTTAACGGTGATTTTTCTTTAACGGTGATTTTCTTTAACGGCGATTTTCTTTAACGGTGATTTTCTTTAACGGTGATTTTCTTCAACGGCGATTTTCCTTAACGGTGATTTTCTTTATCAGTAATTTTATAATAATGAAATTTGTTTAGTCAAAAATAACTTTGAGTAAAAGGTATTTGTTGAAAATTGTTTATATTCTTTAGTGGATAAATTAGAGAGTGAAATAATTTTAAGTAAAAAATATAATTTAAACAAAAAAAATTATTGACTATCGTAAGAAGATAAAATAATAAAGGGTGAAATAATTTTGAAAAGAACCGAATTTTATTTTCTTAGTAGTTTCAAATTTAAAGTTATAGCCTCAAGTATTTTGAATGCCATTTTCGTAAATATTAACGAAAATTAAACAGGTTTTTGTAAATCAATCGAGATTAACATTATATATACATCAGTTATCCAAATATATTTTTATGAATAATAGAATTGATTTATTCAGATTCTGAATTTTTACTCTCAAATATTCTAATGTACATTTGTATTGAAGTTGCATTTTACAGAAAACCAACAAAAGTAATTATCATTAGGAAATGCTTAATGCACAGTACTTCCTACTTGGATACCATCATGCGAGCAGCAGGATTCGTAATCTTTCGGAAAAGAGAATTTTACTGAACTTGTTAAACTTAAAAAATTCACAACTTCTTAAACTTTCTAAATGAGATTCCCATGGGATAACCATCTTAATTTACTCGACCTTAATTTACCATAAAAGATACATGGATGGAAATGCCCTAGCAGCAAAATAACTTGGACCCTCATTTAATCAATATTCTTGAATCTTGGCTCAATAAGGCCGATACTTTCCCGATATTGGTCCTATATAGAATTGTTAGATTAATCTAATATTTTATATCCATTATACAGCCAATATCGGCTCTATATAGAATTATCTATTTCACCCGATATACGTTTCACCCAATATCGGCCATAATAGAGTTGTTATTGCCAAATATGAAAAGCCATTCTAGGAAAGTTATTAAAAAAATTAAGATGTCCCAATATTGGTACATTCGTGCATGTTCTTAAAAGACCTATATTGTGCCCAACTGGGGCCAAAGTAGAATTGTTACTCAATAGTATGAAAATACTCTGAATTAACCGACATTGTTTACTTAATTTCACTTCGAGCAATAAAATATTCCATACGTAGAGTGCTTAAAAGTTGAATAAAACAACTACAATTCGACAGTTATAAATCTGAAACAACTAATTACTGAAACTTTTCATTGTACCCATTCTATATCATGGTAAAAAAAATTTCTAAGTCATAATTCCAAAGCTTTCAACATTACTGGGATGATTACTATTACTTTCCACGACAAAATTACGGTAACTTCCTACGGTGAACGTGTGGAATTAAATAAAGAGTGCAGATAAGGAATAAAGAGTGCAGATAAGGATAAAGAATACAGTTATTGGGGTTGTGGAATACTAACAATAAATTTGACTAAAACAAAATGCTACTTTAATTAAAACATTTCCATGGACGTGATAGGACGAGAAAGTTACATAAAAATAATCAAACATGATCTCTGCAACAGTTCACTATGAACATATGTCGTTATGTCCAAATTAAGGAATTATTCGCACGGGTACTATCTAGTTTTTGCGAGAACTTCTTCTGACTTTAAGTGTGAGGTCATCTGTTGCTATGGAAACAAGAGTAAAACCATTTCTAATGGGAAAAAAATTAGAGAAATGACGTCTCTCCCATCCTAAACCAATGCGATACAATTAATCTTCGTAACTATGGTAACCACCAGCGTGTCAGTCTGGTATCTAGAGGATTTTTCGTGAGAGCCAAACAGTACATAATGAAGATGAAAAAGAATCTCAGAAAATGGTACTATGCAAAATGCATCGAAAATGTATTCTAAAACAATTCGGGTAGCGCTGGGTGAAGCTGCAAGTTAAAAGTAATATTAAAAATAAAAATTCTAGTTTATCAACTAGACTCACCTATGTTAACCCGAAGATGATAGTAACAGTAATAAGTGATTGAAAAACTCTGTTAATTATTTTCTCAAGGCATTGTCAAGTTGTTACTCTAGTTCCTATGTGTAACTTTGTTAGAGACTTACGACACGCGGGTAACATTCTCTATTGATTGGGACCGAAATTTACCGAAAAAGAAACGAAACCTATATTGTTTCATCGACTTAAGCTAGAGTCATTAACAAGATATTTCTAGTTGGCAGAATCTCAAAATTATATGTAAGTATTCTTCTTCTTGCCTTTAAAATAATCACAACAATTCAAAGTATCTTTTATAGGCAAATGTGATGTAAAAAAAAAATTATATATTGTGTGAAATAATTCAATTTTAAGATTTATAACAGCTCTACTTGTCCCCTTTAATCAAGTTGTTTGTGTCATTGTGTGTCAAATAAACTGTTATTTTTTTATGTTGATAAAACTTTAGTTTCCTTGCTAAAAAATTATTTTTAGAAGAACATTTGGCAAGCAGCAAACTAAAAATAAAATTATATTTTTATGTTCAAAGAGCTGAATCTGAAAACAAATTTACAACTTAGGCTAGATATAGCACAAGGACTATAAATTTATCTGTTGGACACAAAACTTAATTAAAGATTATTAATGATAACACAACCGAAAATATTCCTTCCTGTAATTAAATATTTAATATAGTTAATAATATAATTAAACTTTTATAGGTTATAACGTTTACAATTACCTTAATAAACTTTATTTATAAAGTTGGGGTGCCGCCAAAAGAAGGTTAATCAATTAGGGTTCGGTAGCAGAAAAAAAATTGGGAACCTCTGCTCTAAAACAGCGGTTCCCAAATGGTGTTCCACGAAAAGATCACAGGGGTTCTGAAAGATGAGAATTTTTATGTTTCAGTTGCGAATTTCGAAACCTTTAATGAAATTAGTATCCAATTAAAAATCCATTATTCATTTCATATCTCAGTAATTTTTTTATGAAATTATATAATTGAAATACGCGTGAAGAAAGAAATTTTAAAACAAAGCTTTTTCTAATAACAAGATATTGTATAAGATACATTTGTGAAAAATTCCATTAGTATTTCGCATCGAATAAATTTAACCAAATTCAGGAATGAAAAAATATGTTTCTCCGAAAACAGTTCTCAACGCTTATTTTCTTCCTTTTTCGTCCTTATTTTAATTGAAACCATATTTCAACTCATTTATTTTTCAGTTTATGCATGCACTAAATTCAAATTAAGAACTAGACTATAGATGTTACTCTAGACCTGTAAATTTAACAGTTTGACACATGAAACCCAATTTTAAAACTAATTTGATTGAAAAATTTAATTCATTCCCTAAATATTTTCAAAATAACTAATACAAATTTAGGTCATTACATATTTTCAAAATAATGAATAGTGTTTCGTTAGTTAATATGTTCTCAATTCCTTATGAAAATTATTCATTAAGTTTTGAGGGTTGTGTCAAAAGAAGGTCGATCATTTAGGGTTCCATAGACGAAAAAAATTGCTAATCTGAAGGACATTTTAAGCTTATATATATACAACAGAAACAAATTCATAGCCAGACTGGACAGTTAAATTTCTAATCTTTGTATAGCACAAAGATTACAAATTTAACTGTGGGACACAAAGCCTAATTTCATGAACTAAACCTAATTTAAGAAAATGGACAGTAACTAATGAAGCTGATTTTATATTTTAATATTTAAAATAAAAATAAGTACTTCATAAGAAAAATGCAACACTAATAGGATAGTGTTTCATTTTTCTTCAAATAGTGTTGCATTTTTCTTCAAAATAATCAAATGAAAACAAAAACTGTACTCACATTGTATGTTCCTTATTTTCAAAGCCAACAGATCTTCTTCGTCGTCTCCACCACGCTCCATACCATCATTCTGATTAAAAAGACAGCAGATAAAGAAAAAAAAATTGTCGTAATATATCCTTCACATGAAGTCTACGAGGACTGCTTGTCGCTCAGAATAAATTCGATGTGTTCTAGACGGAAACGAAGAGTTCCTGGAATAAGCTTTTGTGTGGCGATCATCTCTTTAACGAACCTTAATAGAACTTTAATGAAGTGATGGGCGAGGGACTATAGAAAGATGAAGGCGTGTACATGAACACCACTGGATCCTCTATTACGTTGTCAGCGGTTGACTGAAAAAGATAATTTAGTCTGTGAGATCACGTTGCATTCATAAATTGCCTCCCCGCCTTTATATTATTTAGTTTTTCATGCTTGTTTCATTCATTAAGCATTAAACGGATAGAGAAAAATAGAGGGATTACGATTATTTTGGATGGAGGGTTGTTTACTACGTTTACGTTCGCATTCTCTCTAGAGATGCATACTACAGTTCCCAAATGTTTACGACTGCGGAACCCTTAATGATCGAGTATCTTTTGGCATCCGTGGACATATTAACCAAAGAAAGAATATTAATTATTTTGATAACATTTTATCTTATATCATATATATCCATCGTTGAGCAGCCGACTCAATTTTAAGTTTACGACTACTTATGTTCAACTCCGTAGCCTTGTAATTTTGAACCAATCCAGAGATCAGTACCCCCAGAGGTATTGATTTGTTATGGGAACATGGATGACTTTGCGACTTGACAGATTTAACGTGCATCAGTCACCATTTACTACTAGTTTCTTCGGCAGGTGGGGATCGAACCCACGAACTCTTGGACATGGGCCCAGCGCCCTACCGACCAGGATATGCCGGCCCATTCACAGTATTCTTACATTTTTTAAAAGTATATGACCTAAGTGGAAACCATTTTTTTTCAAAATTTTATAATTGTAATTTATACTTGATCTAGGAGTTCCCTCGTCTTCTGGATTGGGTTCAAAATTACGAGGCTACGGAGTTGAACACTTATAGTCGTAATTCTAAAAGATTGGGTCGGTTGTTCAACGACGGCTATAAAGTAAAATAAAATGTAAGCAATGAATTATTTTTTCAATAATCGTTTTATCAGTAAAACTCTTAAAATAATAGGTTTTATGTCAACTGTAGTTCTGGCTTTGTTTTTGTTGCATACACTTACTAAAAATGAATAAAATAAGCTAAATTATAGTTTCCGAAAAGCGTTGAGAAATTAGTTATCAAAGAAATATAATTCGTTATTCTTGAATTTGGCCATTTTATTTTGAAACGAAAAGTTTGACGAGAAATACCGTTTAAATTTCTTATAAATGTTGCCATTTATTTTTTACTGGAATTTTATTTAAATAATTTCATAAAAATAACCAAACTATCAAAGAAATTATGATTTACTGTTTTGATATGAATATTATCACAACTTTCAAAAATCATTACTCATTTAAAAAATTTTAAACTCTCGTAACTCCTGTATCTTCCACAAAACCTAAGGTTTCGCAGAACACCATTTGGGAACCACGGAGTTATAGAAGTCTTGTGATATAATTTATGAACGAAAAAATTTACTTTCATTGTAGGATAAACCAACCAATGAAGGAACACTACCCAGTGAAGGAACATTTCATATATAGGGGAGAGTGGGGTCAATTGTAACATTTTTTACTTAACTATTTTTAACTAACAAAAAATCCCATATATTATTAGTATTAATTGACATACGAGTAAAGTAGACTATCTTCTACTAGAAAAAAAAATAAATACCTGATTTTAAATGTTATTATATTAGTTATTAACAATTTTTGACAGTCGTGCACTTGTTACAATTGTCCCCACTTACGGGGTCAATTGTAACAGTTCATAAATTCAACTAAAACATAGTTAATTATACATATTATCATAGTTGTGATATATTTTTTT